AAGTTTACATGGGTCCTTCTGTTTCTTGGAGCTAAGTTCTTTCTTTTCTTTTAAAAAAAAAAAACTTTTAGTTTTTCAAGACAGGGTTTCTCTGTATTACTTTGGAGCCTGTCCTGGAACTCCCTCTGTAGACCAGGCTGGCCTGGAACTCACAGAGATCTGCCTGCCTCTGCCTCCCGAGTATTGGGATTAAATGCGTGTAACATCAATGCCTAGATTCTGAAGCTAGATTCTTAAAGGCTGTCTGTCATTTTCTCCTTTAAAAGGACGGCATCCCTTTTCGTAGTTTGCTGATGACTCTGTTGGTGCACATCTGTCTGTAATACCTGGTTGCAAGTGCAGTCATGATCCTGTGGATCATTCTCAACCAGCCTCGTATAAATACTCAACGGGTTATGTGTTTTTCAGGACTTAAACTTTATCCTGAGTATTCATTTTTGCAGAACACAGCAACAAAACACCATCGTGTTCTTGGTTTCTGTCCTGTCTTTCTGTCCTGTCGTGTGCTGTGCAGACTTCGGAGTGTTTGCTAACACAGCGTGGTGTTTTTCTTGGAGGTGGTTGTAAAACTCTGCTTGTGGCTTCCAGAGTCCGTCAGGTTCTCAGAGCTGCTTCCAAAAGACTGTTTGGTGTAGCCAGTTCTCCTTTGCAGTCTCTGTGCCCTGGAGATGCTGGCCTTTGGGGAGGAGCTGTGTGACCACTGAGTCTCAAAGGCCCTTCCTCCCCCAGGCAGGCAGACGCAGGCAGCGCAGCATGTTTGCCTGAGGCCCGGTTTGGGCAGCTGGAGGTAGGAGCTGGGGGGAGATCGTTGGCTCAGGTTGACCTGCAGAGCTGGGCTGAGATACGCCTAGTGTAAAGATCTAGAAACAGGTGGGTGTGGCAAACATAGCCTGGTATGCCCTTCGTCTTAGAGATGAACAGCAATGACAGACTAGAGGCCTCAGGAGTCCCAGAAAAGGGTTCTGTTGCTCAAACCAGAGTTCTCTTCATTTCCTCAAAACTTGGCAGCACTCCAAGAAGCCAGTGCCCATTGAATTTGCTTCCGCTGCCCTCTGTGATAGGGTCCCGGAGCTATCCGTTGTAAGCCTTCTTCAGTAGTTGCGGCTGGCTATGATTTTCATAAAAGTTTGTCTTAGAGTGTTTTTGTCCCAAAGGGTGTTGAATTCTAAGGGTCAGAGTCCATGCCTGTGTCAAGCTGGTCCTTTGTCCTTGGAGAGCCCAAGTGTTTGTCACTCCTCATTGTAACTGCATTAGATCCCAAGCTGTAGTGGCCTAAAGGGAGGCACCTTCTACTCCAGAGTGGAGTGTGGCTGTCCTACCATGGCTGACTCTGCCCTCCGTCTCTCCTCCTGCCTTGTGCTCAGCCCCGTCCTGGCATAGACAGATGAACACACACTGCTGGGTGTCATGGGTAGGCTCAGCTGTGGACCGAACACGCCAAAAATAAAGCCACAGTGTTCTGTCTAGTAAAACTGTTTCCTGGGCTTTATGGTCTGACCACATGTGCTCAGATGAGGGCTTATCTGGATCCTGTGGCTGAGGTAGATGAGTGTGGCCTGACAGTGTGGTTTAGTGGATGTGACAGATGGTGTGGCTGTGCCAGCGTGGGCTGTGTAATGGGTCCATGTCAGCCTGGCCCCGAACTTACAGAGATCCACCTTCCTCTGCCTCCTGGGTGCTGGGATTAAAGGTGTGCACCACCACTGCCTGGCATTAAGCATATTTTCTAGTGTACCATTTTACTAACAATTTTGAGTTATTTTCTTTGTTATAGTATTAGCACTATTATTATTTTCGGTGTTTTGAAGTGGGGTCTCGCTGTAGACCAGGCTGCCTGGAATCCAGTGCTGGGGTTTAGGGGTATTCCACCAGATCTGGCTTTGGCTCGTCTCTTAACAGTTGCCTAAGTTACAGTGAGTGCCCTTAGATCAGCCACCACTCCCACTTCTATGCTCCGGGCCCTGCTGTCTGCAGACTTAGGTGCACTTGGCTGTCGGCGCCCACAGGTTTCTGAGGCTTTGTTCTTCAGAGTGGATGATCTCACCTGGCCAGCTGTTTTCTGCCAGCTCAGATTGGCCAGGGAGCCCTCTAGTGAATATTTGCTGCAGTTAACTCTGCTCTCACCTCAGACATCTCCTTGTCGATGTTCTGTGCCCCTGACTAGACTCTTCTTCCTGAGCCTGGCCCTCATCGTGTCTTACAGCTGCTGTGTTTTGCTGTGTCAGGTCTCCTTCCATGTGTGCTTATGTGTTTCGTACTTGATTCTGTTTTGTTTATAGTGGACATTTAGGGTGAGGGCTGTGGCTCTGTGGCAGAGCCTGTGCCTAAGCATTTAGCTCCTGCCTCTGTGGAAGGGGCGGACTAACTGTTGTCTGGGTGTTACTCTGGCTGTGGCCCTCCAGACTCTGCTGAGGTCACAGTTCTGCCTTATCCCCGGCTTTATGCTTGTGCAGAGGCTGATGGGCTTCTGGAATCTAGCGGTCAGGGCTTTCTTACCACCCCCTCCAAGCACAACCCCTGTTTGTGGTATGCTAGACTCCCAGAAATTTGCAGGGTTTTTCAAAGCTCTGTGGGTACTCCTTCACCTTTTTCCTCTTGAGCTGTTTGGTCAGCATCTTGTCAGTCACAACATCAGAGCCTTCCCAAGTGCTGCACTGTTAAAACAACTCCTCCTTCAAGATAGGGGCTTGCGATACTTCTGGCAGGCTCGTAACTCCCTATAGCCCAGGCTAGCTTTGAGCTCACAGCGGTCCTTCTGCCTTAGCCTCCTGAGTGCTGGGAGTACAAGTGTGAGCCACTGTGCTTGGCCAGCAGTGTTGAGCTTAGTTAACACTCTGTTTGTTACAGCTGCCCTGCCGGTAAGACAGATCAGATAAAGCCTCCACAGTGCTTTCCAGCAATCTGCCAGGCAGGTCAGCCGCTGCCAGCTTTGTAGAAATTCGGTTTGGTAAGCTCAAAGCATTCATGTCCCGTGCCCCTACCCCAATACTGCTGGTTGTGTAGCTGTTATAAATGTGGGGCTGTTAGTTTTCAAGGACCTGAAGGAAGAGGTCACCCAAGTTCAAGTCCAGCCTCCCAGTCCTTACCAAGCCCAGTCTTTCTTTTCCCCTGGTCTGTTTTTAAAGACAGGGTGTCACTGTGTAGTTCTGGCTAGCCTGGATGGAGCTCACTGTGTAGACCAAGTTCACCTTGAACTCACATATAACTGCCTGCCTTTCGTGAGTGCTGGGGTTAAAGGTGTGCACCACCACACTCTGCCTTCATCCTTTTTCATTTTTATTTTACTGATTTATGTATTTATTGAGCACTCTGTCTTTAGAGCATTCAAGCTTTTCATTACTTACCATGGTCCTGAAAATGTCAATTAAAAAAGAATCTGTTGATGCATGCTCAAGTGTGGGTGGATTCGAGCCACAGTTTACACAGTAGGTCAGAGGCCAACCTCAGGTGTCTGCCCTCCTCCCCTTCCATCTTGAGTTAAAGACTTAATCATTGTGTGTATGGTGTGTGGCTGTGGTGTGCATGTTTTTAAGGTGCACGTGTGTGTATGGAGTGCATATGTGTATGCTATGTTCATATCACAGCATGTGTATATGGAGGTCCAAGAACAGCTTTGGAGTCAGTTCTCTCTCACCTTCATGTGGGCTCTGGGGAGCGAACTCAAGTTGTCAGGCTTGTGCAGCAAGCACTGTACTACCGAGCCGTCTCACTGGGTCCTTGTTCACACTGTGTGAGGACTAGCTGGTCCTCGGATTTCAGCCATTCTCATGGCTTTCTTTGCCTCCCACATTTCCATTGGAGTCAGGCCGCTGCATCCAGCTTCATCTGGGCTGCGAGGATCCAAACTCAGGTCCTTACACTGCAGCAGACCCAAACCCACCAAGCCATCCTCTCAGCCCATGTTCCTTTTCCCCTTGTGGTACTAGCCAGACCTAGAGCCTCACACACGCTTGCTAAGCCTCTACCACTGAGCTACAGCCCCAGCCTGACCTTCATTTCTGGGTGTGTTCTAATTGCCACTGTGGAGGAGCAGACTTTGAGACATTTGCACACCCCCATCCCAGCTGTCCCCCTCAGTCATTTACTCTTCCTTCCTCTGCCAAGGTCTGACGTGGCCCCAAGGAGTGGTAACAAGTGTAGGTTCTTATAAGCTGCTGGCCCTCTCTGTTTACCAGGAGTGAGCTTCGGTGTCAGGATGGCGGCAAACATGGCCTCCGACTTGCATCTCCAGTGCACACCATAGGTTGTTTTTTGTTGATCTGTGGAGTCAGTTTTTATTGGCCCTGAGCTTCCATGTTTTGTACTCTGGTCAACTTTGTGCATTGTGCTGTGAGGAAGTAAACCAGCTGTACTCGAATGAGGGCTGCAGAGCAACATTCTGAGAGCTAAAAAGCCAGTTCCTCCTGATAGATACTGTGGGGACTGGAGATTTGTACCAGATGCAGCAGTCATTTCTCCACTATGCATTGTGGTCCTGCTCAACAGCTCGTGTCATATTAATACTGTCACTAGGCTTTCATCTGTACATGTAAGAGTTCTCCATGTAGCATAGATTTGAATTTTATGCCATCAGACATTTACTTGATTAAAGCCTTTCACATCACAGGCCATCAGACTCTCGATTTGTAAGATGGCCATGCAGATCTTTCCACACACTCTTCCCGGAAAGCTCAGTGTGCGTGTGTAGTGTTTACCGTATTCAACTCTGTTCTTTTAGCATTTTGTGTATTGGTGCATTTTTTTTCCTCTTTCACTTGTTAGATGATAATTTATCACGCCATCTAAAATGTAACGTTACATGGTAGTATAACAGTTTTGAAATCTTGAAAGATAAAACTGGAAACATTTGCTAGTGTTTTTTTCCACCTCAGAGTGTTTTGTTAATGAGGCGTTTTATGCTGCCATAAGCCTGGGGTTATAATATAGGTGTTGATTGATTTTGGATGGTGAGGCCTCTCTAATTGCAGATCTTGACATTTGCGTCCCTTGTGTTGTTCTAGGTGAGCAAGACATGGAAGGTGATCGCTGAAGACGAGGTGCTGTGGTACCGGCTGTGTCAGCAGGAGGGGCACCTTTCCAAGAACAGCATCTCTGACTACACCTGCTGGAAGCTCATCATGCAGGAGTGTCTCGCCAAGGAGCATATGTTAAGAACCAACTGGAAGGTAGGCAGTGGCCGGTGGTATCCTTAGGCAGACAGCCTTCAGGGACACTGGCCAGCAGGCTGAAGTTGTGGCCTGAGGCTCATTTCCAGAGTGGAGGGAAGGGAGCAGGGTGTGCCGAGCATCTCCGGCCTCCTCTGACTGCCAGTTTCAGCATCTCTGTTACGGTTGCCCCTCTCTCATCCTTGGGCCTACGGCTTCCTCCTGCTGTGCAGGAAGGGGTCTGAGGTGGGCTGTGTGACACCGCCTTTCCTGGCTGGTTAGGGTCACTGGAGTCTTGCTCTGTCAGACCCACCCCTTCCCCCCTGCAGAGCTGCTACTGGAGAGGTGGCATGGTGCTGAGTGCTGTCTGCTCTTCCCTCATGTGACCCTTGGCTCGCCGCCTTGGCATTTATCACTTCGAGGCTCTGCAGAAATATTAGATCACAGCTAAGCATTTGCAGAGAAGCATTTCTGGAGGATCAAGCTGTCAGGAAGCGTGTTGCAGGCCTGTGTGAGGTGCAGCAAGGAGGTGGTGTGGGCCAAGCTGCTTTTTTACCTAGGCAGCTGGGAGTTCACCCATCGGAGGTGGGGTAGAGGCGGGGTAGAGCTGGGTCCTCCTCTCACTTCAAGGTCAATCCAAATAGATTTTTGAGGCAAGAAAGCCTGCCCACCTGACTAGGTCTTCTGATGGGCGGGCGGGCAGGCAGGCGGGCTGACAGAATGATCTGTGAAAGAAAGCTGCTCAGACGAAACCAGGCTTGCTGCTGGGCCCGCAGTCCACCTGAAGGCAGAGGGAAGGAAGGCTGAGAGTTAGCTGGGCCTTTTTGCCTTTCTGTCCTGAGATGTGGGAACCAGAGAGTGTGCTTGGCCCTGGCGCTGAATTCAGGGATGTTGGAGCTGAAGGAAATCAACAGCTCTGCTTATGCTGCTGCTTCAGGGTGTGGGGTGGGGTGGGGCAAAAGGAGGAGGGCAGGGCGTCCTCGTTTGAACCAGAGATGGTAGAAGTAAAGAGCATTTGGCATCCCGTAACAGTTCACAAGGAAGATGAGATGTCACCCAGTGTCTGTTTACTGCTTAGATGGGAAACAGCACATGAGGGGCTTCTGGCACCCTGGGTCACCTCCCAGAACAGAGCAGTGAGGACCATTGGTGAAATTCAAGTGATGGACCGTTCACTAAGGTGGACATCTTAGTGCAGTTTCGGAAAGAACCCTTCATCGCATTGACAGTGCAAAGGGCATTGTGGCAGCTGTCTAACCTCTGCATGCTTCCATCCTCGTCGGCTGGCTCAGAGTAACACTGCTCCCAGGCCTGTGGCTGTGGGGAAGGTGAACCTAGGGATGGCCTACCTGCTAGTTCGGGAGAGGGTGGGCAGGCAGTTGGCGTGGTAACTCCCAGGTCAGTGTCTGGAGACCCCAGAAAGGCCCCTTGGGTTCTGAGGCTAGGGCATGAGCCATGAGTGCTTGTCTACTTGGATCTGCAGTTCAGAACTGGCTGGAAACGGGTTGATAGGTGGATAAGGTTGCCACGAAGCTTTCTTCTGCCGTTTGCCAGCCTGACGTTCTAAGATCTGCCCAGAATGAGAATAACCAGTGTGGTTTGGAGCCTGGGGTGGGAGGGCAGCTATTTTACTGAGCTCAGTGAGTGCTGGGTTACAGCTTTCATCTCTGGCCCTCTGCTTCCTCTCAGTACCTTTCCCCAGATGTGCCCTTCAGCCCAGTTAGTTCCATCTGACAGTCCTGGAGATCTTCTGCCCTTAGGCTCTAGACTTGGTCGTTGTGCAAATCCTCTTGCCCGCTTTCAGTGACATAGCTGTTTAACAGCTGTTGATTTTAATGGAATGGATGCCACCACATCTTTCCTAATGGCATAGTAATCACAGTGGCTAACAACTGGGGGTGGTGCTTATGCATCTACGGTTAACCAGGGGCCAGGCCAGAAGAGCTGACAGTTCAGATAATGGAGTACTCGGGAACACCGTGTCTATGCTTACTACGTCTGCTTCCTACACAGATGCTCGATATCCCTGAAGAGTCCCTTCGTTTTTACTTAAAAATAATTGATACGTTTTCTGAATTTGACAGCAAATAACCTGTGTAGTCTGGAGAGTGATGTATGATAGCTATACTTTGGATGTTGAATGAATAAGTTTATTGAGTATATAACAAACAAAAGTAAAGGAATAAATAGTGGGTAGAGAGAAGCAGCAAGTAGCAAGATAATCAAGGCAGGCGCTCACAGCATCTAGCAGGGACGACTGGAGTAGCCCGATGGAGGGAGCTGTTTAAAGGCAGCGTGGTCAGACCGTGCCTGAAACACCCAGCAGAAATGGACTGGGAGGTTTGATGGAGAGCTGCCTGTGTGGTCAAGCTTCCCATAATATCATAGCGCTGTCCAGGGTCAGCCTCCAGCTTCCCTTTCCATGCGTGTCTATGCCAGAGGAAAATCAGCGGTGTCACCTTTGTGGAAAGACTTTACCTCCTAGCAGTTGGCTTGGTAACTCTTTGGTAACCAGAGCTGAGGGGTTTATTTGTTTCTTTTTTTTTTTTTTTTTTTTTTTTTTTTTTTTTGAGCAAGGTCTATTATGTAGCCCTGGCTATCCTAGTACTTAGTACTTACAACGCAGACCAGACTGACCCCAAACTCACACATAGCCCCTTGCCTCTGCCTCCCGAGTGCTGAGATTAAAGTTGTACACCACCACACCCAGCTTAAGGATGAGATTCCCACCCCCACCCCCCCATCCCCTCCCACCCCACCCCCCCACCCCCCCGAGACAGACAGGGTTTCTCTGTGTAGCCCTGGCTGTCCTGGAATTCCATCTATAAACCAGGATGGCATGAACTCAGAGATCGGCCTGCCTCTGCCTCCGCCTCCCAAGAGCCAGGAAGGATGAGTTTTTAATGCCTCAGCTGCTCGCTGTTTTTCCCTCTTCCCAACAGGGAACCAGGGCGGTGCTTGGGTCTAAAATGGGGAGGCAGTGTCTCCATGTCCCTCTAGAGACCGTTATCAGTGAGTTCAAACAGCACCTGACAGTTGGCCAGTCTAAAGACCATTGCAGTGATCATGGAAAGTAGCCCAGAAGTCACACAAGGGCACACAGCTGGGACCTGCCTCCTCCTGTCCCTCTCAACACCCTACCTAATGTTCCCAAGGAGCAACCCAAATTCAGGGTTAGGCTGTTCTCCAAAGACCATTTCCCTGAGAAGTCTGATGCTTACCCAGAACGGCATCTTTCTGTGTCCACTGTGAGCCTTCTCTTTGTTCTGGAAGTTCTTTACACCTCCATCCACTGAGTACTTCCTCCTAAGGGCTGAACTGCTTACTGGCCTTGATGCACTCACTGCTTCAAGCCCTTCCATGCGCAGGGACACTTCCCTGTGCACATACTTCTTCCTACGTGGTGGCATTCGGGGACAGGCCTGCTCCATGCAGTGCCTCTGGTATAGGCTCACCGCGCATGGGGTTGCCATTTTATCCCCGAGTGCCCGTTGACTCAAGTATGGTCCACGCCGATAAAGATGGCTATGACATGTACGAGAAGAGCACATTATCAAGGGCTACCTTAAGACTGCTGTAACCACATTCACCCTTTTCCTCACACAGAATCGAAAAGGTGCTGTGAGCGAGCTGGAGCACGTTCCCGATGCCGTTTTGTGTGACGTGCGCTCTCATGACGGTGTTGTCATCGCAGGGTAAGCAAAGCTAAGCTCCATCTCATCTGCTCAGGCTGCGTCTCCACCCTCTGCCTCTGCCCGAGCACCCTAGCTCGGCTGCATGTAGGGTTCTGTCCTAGGGCCTGGGAGCTGGGAGCTTCACGGTTGTTACACACACATGTGCATATGGGTTTCTTTAGTGAACAATCGGGTTAACTTTATTGAGGGTTAGGATGTCTCTTGAGCTAGTATCTCAAAATGCAGACTTTGCAGACTTTGGCAGACTAAGGTTGTGTGCCAGAAAGCGCACAGGGGAGTGACGGAACCCCTAGTCTTTGGAGTCAGTGGGCTTTGTGGGAGGGGCTCCTGCTGCAGGGCTCCTGCCTGGAGGAAAGTGGAAATTAGAGCCAGCCGTGGACCTACACCGTCAGTAGTCTCTCAGTCCGTCCTTTGACTGTGCCCCTTGGTAAGTAGCATTCCTCAGTGAGCGTTGTGTGAAGGCCGGCAAGATGGGCCAGAGTCCGAGTGCTGCCAGCAAACCTGACTGCGGCCGAGTCTGCCGCCCGAACACCCTCAGTCACTGCACATTGGTGGAAGGACGGGGAGAACCAGTTCCTGCAAGTTGTTCTCTGACTGCATACGAGCCACGGCACGTGCACTGCCCTCAAACAAATGAAATGTTAAAAAATTAAAGCCAAAGCACCATTTGAATTGAATTCCAAACAGATTATTCCAATATTTTATGGCAGACCCTGCCACAATTTTTTTTTTGTTATACTTTATTTACTTGTTTGTGTGTTTTGTGTGTAGGACTCATGTGCCACAGCACATGTGTGCAGGTCAGAGGACAACTTGCAGGATTGGTTTCTCCTGCTACTGTGTGCATCCTAGGGATCGAACTCGGGTTGTCAGGTGTGGTGGCAGACACCCTTACTCACTGAGCCATTTATTCACCGGCCTCAAGTCCTTAAGAAAAACCCCTCAGCTCTTACATCTGAGTAGGCAACCTGCTATCTGTCTGTCTGTCCGGCTGTCTGTCTGTTCGTCTGTCCGTCCTTGTGAGGTGTGGTTCTCTGAGCTCGTCCTCAGACCGGTGATATCCAGGCGGGGTTACAGTACTCTGACTTCAGGGTTCTGCCTAAGCACTGCAGTGCTCAGGCTGGAGTAAGGGTCATGGTAGATTGGAGGTGGAGGTGACTCTCCTTCCCACGTCCAGTTAGACCTTCTCTGAATGCACAGAGCCCCAGAGACAGTGGCTCTAAGGCTTTTCCCTCCCCCTCCTTCCTCTCCCTGGGGATCTGCCCAGCACTAGATAGGCCACCAAAGGCCCCAGCCATACCAGTGTTCTGGGGATCGATTGTGTGAAACTCGAGCGGCGGGTCAGAGAGCTCCTGGGCTCCTTTCTCTGAGAGAAGCTCCACTTGATGGCCCAGTCCGAGACTTTGCGATGTTGCTTGTGTGCAGAGCATCTTGTGTTTATCATTAAAATTTTATCCGGCGGTTACAGTGCTTGTTTTCTGGGTCAGCTCTTGAATCCTTTTCATTTGAGACAGTGGTGTTTGTGGTTACCTCATTCCCAATCAATGCTGTGCTCTCCAGGCTCTCTGCAGTTGAGCATCCCCAGGGAGCCTCTTAAAGAGACAGCGCTGCCTCTCCTTGCTTTCCCTCATGCTGATCTCCTTGCTTTTGTTGTTTCTCTTTGTTTGACAGAGGTAGAGCCTGACTGAAGGCTGCTGCGATCCATGGTTCAGCCTGTGAGATCTACTCCATAAGGGTGGAGTGCAGGCTTGCTTCAATCCACCGTGGCGTTCTCTGCTCTTGCTCTGCTCAGGCTGCGTAGCCCCAGGCTGGCTTTTTAAGAACTAACTGATCCCTGCCTTCCTGACAAGGGTTTCCTGGCTGAAACTGAGTTGGGCCACGTGTTCCCAAAGCTGTCCACTGCCCTTGCCTCCTTTCCTGTCTTTAGGCCTTCTTGATCCTCCCCTTCCTAATGTACACACTCCTGTGTGGTCGGTGGCTAACTCCTAACTCAAGTGCACTGTGTATTTGCCACACTGGCCACTAGGATACGGTAAATATACCATGGCGTTTACTCTTTCAGTCTCAAGTCAGTGAACTGTAGTAATTTCTAGACTCGGTAGCTGCTGCTACGAATTCCAGAACATTCTCGACACCCGACAAACCCTCCCCTTTCCTGTTTTTTTGTTTTGCTTTTCAAAACAGGGTTCTCTGTGCAGCCCCTGCCGTCCTGGAATTTCGGTAGACCAGGCTGGCCTTGAACTCAGAGATCCATCAGTCTCTACCTCCTGAGTGCTGGAACTAAAGGCCTGTGCTACCACACCTAACAACTCTAGTCCCCATTCTTGATGGGCCATTTCAGCCCTGCCTCCTTCCAGAGTATTCTTGACTGAGAACTGCCTCCCTCTTGGTGCTCGCTCTTCTCATAATGTTGGTGGGAGATGGAGTATACAGGGAAGGGAATCTTATGGCTGTTCTATCTCCCCAGGTACTTTTGTTTGTTGTTTTAGAGTTCCTTAGAGAAGGAACTTTAACCTTTGCAGCATAACTGGTCTTTTCAACAATTTGTAAATGTCTTCTAAAATAGAGTGTGTATTGCTGTTACCCTGGGGTGCTGTGTAGGGCTATGCACGCTTTTGTATTCAGTAAGTACCAACATTTCATACATAGCTCCTCCTCCCTCCTATCATACTCCACGTTCCCTGGAAAGGCAGAGAAATATGTGGGATATTTTTGTTTGTTTGGTTGGTTTTTAGTCTTCACAACTCAAAACCCTGCGGTTTTAAGCTTGGTCTTGTCCAGGGCTCTCAGGTGTAAGCAGTGGCACCGTGCACACAGGCCACCGTTCCATCTCCTCTTAAGTCTCTCACAGAATCATTTTTGTTCTCTTACGATGCTAATGAAGTCATTTTATTTTTGCAGACGTGCTAGAGAGTGACTTAAGTCCCCCTGAGTCCCCTGATCCTACAGCCTGCACCTGTGACTTGCTGGGCCCTGTGTGTTAGTTTCCAGGCTGATTTCCTACTTACTTTCACATAATAACAATCAAAGCCATATTGCATATTATTATTTTTTCTTGCATAGTCTCTCCTTGTTACTTTTCAGTATTTTCTTAGACTTACTGCAAAATTCCTCAGCTAGTTCCTAGTTTTTTCCTTCATTCACTCAATGGCAGATAGTAAGTAAGTCACTTCCTGTTTCCTAGATGTTCTGAGAAGTGTGTTGGGGGATGACATCGGATGTGCACACACAAATTAGAAGGCTGTGGTGTCACCGGGCTACACAGTCTCTTTGGGACAGCTGTGTGTGGCTGCTGAGAGCACTGTTGTGTGGTACGTGATTGTGGTAGCGTTGAGTTATCCCAGTGCACGGTGTACATGGTGTACAATGTTTCTGTCTCTGTTGTGGCGCCACAGATAGCCTTTAAAATTATAGAGCAGCAGTTGCTGCGTAGACTTCATGTCCCTTGTAAAACGTGTGTCCACGTTAAAGTGTTGTGCTGTGCTGATATTTTTTTCTGGTTGGAATCCCTTAATGTAGCTTAGAGCAGTTTTATATCTTCCAGATTCAGAAACTTTGAAAGTTCTTTCATAGCCCTGAAGTTTTCCTGTTCGGAGTTCCCAAGCCATCCCTTAAGCTTGCTGCAGCACACACCTTCTTACTTCTTGATAATTCCAAAAACACCTCTGCCCTCGTGCCTCTGGTGGCTTTCTGGTTCATAATGTGCCAGCCTTTCCGAAACCTCTTGAGCCTCTTGCAGTTTGGTCTGTTGACTGAACTCTTTCTGAGGTGGCAGGGGTCACGTGGTAAGCATCTTTGGGCAACAGCACTTGCTTGAGCTAAGCATTCAGGAGACATGGAGAGTGCGTCCCAGAGTCCCAAATGAATTGTCCCTCGTGCCTTTGCTCCTTTCTGTGGGTCACTTGGCCATGAGACCAGCATCCCAGAAAACGTGAGGGCTAGCTGAGGCTCCTTCCACAAGGACCAGCAATTCGGACAACTCTGTTTCAGCTAAAGCTTCCCACTTCTTAGGAAAGCACTGTGTTCGAGGGCCCTCCAAATACAGTTCCTTCCTGTCCTGCAGGCTCAGTGTCCACCTGTGTTCTCCATGCTCTGGCCTTGCTGTGTTGGCCCCAGCCTGCCTTCTGCGCCACACTTCATCTGAGAGCTGGATGGCAGTGTATCAGGAAATGTCTAGTTTGCCTCTTTCTTAATTTTGTAGGTGACAACTCATAAAATTTTAGGATGTTCTTTAAATTACATGTTGGAATTGGAAGTGTAGCTCAGAAGAAGTGTGTTTGCCTAGAAAACATGAAGTGTTAGCTCCAGTCTCTAGCACAGAGGAAAAGAACTTGAGTAGTATTCGATATAGTCATGGAGGAAAATTGAGAGGAGCCGGGAGCTGTGACAACATTCCTGTTCTGTGGGGACTGGGCCATTCTTCTCCCCAGTGGCCCAAGGTGTGGGGCCACTTAGTGTGGCCCAAGGTGTAGAGCCACCCAGGTAGAGCCTAGAGGTCTGGGGAGCCAAGCCTGGGCTCCTCTGAGGCCCCAGGCCAGCTCTGCCACCATTAAGCTATTAGCTCACCAAAAGCTTTTAGCCATGCCCAGGAGTGTGTGGTGGTGTGCAGTTAGCTCCCCCTCGCTCAGGATCACATGTCTGAAGTGTCCCATTTCCATCAGTTAGCTCACTTTCTACTCACACTGGAGGACTGGGTCTCCCAGATGTTTAAAAGTATGCAGCCCCTTTATGTGCTGAGGGATGCTCAGTCTACCTAGGTGCTTCTCCCTGGTTTCCATGGTCATCGTGCTTGGTTCCTGCCTTTCCTGGGGGAACCCGCAGCTGTGTATCCACATTTCTCTCCTGCAGATGGGGTTGAAGGGAAAACTGTATCAGTAAGTGCTGTAGAAGTTAACTCTTCCTTTACCTAAAAGTGCTCTGCTAGCCTGTTCTAGCTCTGTCCTTAGAGGCAAGGGCACAGGAGGAGATGCCTGAGAAATACTGGCTTTGTGGCAGCCAGG